AAATGCCTTTCGTAACACGCCAAGTCTGTGAAGCATCACATGGAAGCACTGACTTGAGTGGATTGGTGTTGAAAATCCGGATGTTGTTGACGCTTTATGCTGAGTGGAGTGCTAAAGATCTCCACACTGGTTCCAGGCTGATGAATGCCTGTCTTGCTGTCTTTCCGATCCTGGCTGGCTGGCTGGCTGGCATTGACATCCTCGTCTGTGCCACTGCCGCCTGTAGTTGAAACGATGCTGCCTTGCCTATATAGGTGAGAGAGACTACTTCCTTTATGTTTCTCCCATTGATGGTGATTGGAGCTTGTTGTTGTTGTTGTTGGTTGGGTATATTCATCACCTCTGTCTTCTCAACAGACAGTGTGAAACATTATTGTTTGCTTGATGACATCTCAAACATTCACTATCATTACCCATAACCGTATCAATGTAATCAAATGACTTTCAATATCTACGTTTAATAGTCCTGTTACCTTATATTGTTTATTTCGGTTGGTAGTAAAGTTTTCCATATCTCCAGTATAGGTGCTGCATCTTTCATGTTACATGTGTTGGGTGTTGTCTGATTCGATGAACAAAGATTCAGTAATCAATCTCTCAATCTCCACCTATTTGTATGTTGGACTTCAGTACAATGGTTTTATCCCACCCATCCTATTTTGTGTTTGTGTGTTAATGCACGTATTGCAATAGCCGAGTGCTTTTCTAGATTATTGATCTTATTTGGGTTTTGTCATTCTATATATAGCTAAATTCCTGTGTTCGGCTATTGTAACTGACCTCGAATGGCTAGTTTGACTTATGCACTTAATCTGTCTCGCAGTCATTACATGAATTTGATAGATTAGATTTTTTTTACCTAATTGCTTCTATTGGATCCTTAAGCTAACCGACAAACCTCATAGGTTTAAATGTCACTCTTATCCCAGGTTTTCTGAGGACCGTACGTAAAGTTCTGATATACCTTCCTTATAGGGTAATACAATGGAGGCTGTGAACCCCTTTCTACTCATATTATTATTCGTACTTGTGTTACAGTTATTTTTTCGTTTCTTGTTTGTTCATACGAATTTCTCAATAAATTTCAGGGGATAATTATTAAGTATTGGTGATTCTTTTACGTGTTTCAATTCGTTGTTTAGGTCGTTGCACTGAGTAGTTTGTTTTCTAGCTGTATCATTTAGACATTTGACTAAACCTGCCTTAACTGACTGACTGATATTGTATAAGATAACTTGAAATCTAGATCCCTCTTGGAATGTGTCTTTTTTCTATAGACAGTAGTATCCGAACCGTCTACAAAAAGTCGACACATTTCAACGGGTATCTAGATTTCAGGTCATCTCAGCCCGTACTTGTTAGTACCGGTTTACTCAAATGTCTTAATGACATATCTACTAAGCTCACTAGGAAGGGTTGAAACTTATGCAGGAAATTGAAACACATAAAAGAAGCGTAGATAACTATTAATCATCGTCTACAGTTCATTGAGAAATTCCTATTAACATATGCAAAATGATAAGAGTAATACCAATAAGAATAATATCACAACACTAGTACAGATATATCCCAAGCCTCTATTGTGTTACCATATAAGGAAAAAAACATCAGAAAGTTTATGTAGGATGCTCAACAAGGCTGGAATTCGGGTGACATTTAAACCTACAAACTCACTTACAGATAAGGTTTGTCCACTGGCTTAAGGATCCAATAGAACCAATTAAGCAAAGTAATTTAATCTATGAAATTCCATGTAAAGACTCCAAGTTAAATCAAGTACATAGGTCAAACTAGCCAGTCGAGGTCAGTTACAATAGCCGAACACAGGAATTTAGCTATATATAGAATGACAAAACCCAAATAAGATCAATAATCTAGAAAAGCACTCGGCTATTGCAATACGTGCATTAACACACAAACACAAAATAGGATGGGTGGGATAAAACCATTGTACTGAAGTCCAACATACAAATAGGTGGAGATTGAGAGATTGATTACTGAATCTTTGTTCATCGAATCAGACAACACCCAACACATGTAACATGAAAGATGCAGCACCTATACTGGAGATATGGAAAATTTTACTACCAACAGAAATGTAGAATATAAGGTGACAGGACCATGGAAATCAGTGTGATTTACGTTGATATGATTATGGTCAATGACAATTTAGGATATACCCTTCTAGAAAGTCTTGGAAATCTCCAAGGGCACTTTATATATATATATATATATATATATATATATATATATATAGTAGTAGTTTTCATCATGGACTGACATCAGTTGGGGAATCATTGAAAATCTGGGAGCACTTGCTTCCAGATGGATATCAGGAAGTTCTAATGAGAAGCCGTGACCTGTTGTAGTCAATCAGTCGGAAGTGAAGTGGGTGCTTATTGAAGACTTTGGGTGACAGTCGCGCTATTTCGTGAATGGACAGAAGTTTGAAATTGTGAACCACTGCAAACCAACCCAGTGGCTGAATGGTTAACGCGTTCGCCGTGAAATTTGAAGGTCCTGGGTTCGACCCCTATCCGGGTCGTTGGTGCGTACTGCTGAGGAGTCCCATACTAGGACGAGACAGGTGTTCAGTGCTCCCAGGTTTTCAATGGTTCCCGAACTGATGTCAGTCCATGATGAATACTACTTGCAAATTAAAAATTCCCATTTATCTCAAATATTATATATATATATATATATATATATATATATATATATATATATATATAGTGCTGTATTTTGCATGCGCTTGCATGTTGCAATACACCTTCCGTTCTCTTATCCCCTCTTTTATTCACCGAGGAACTAAGCGACAGTCAAGGTTGAGATCTGTAGGTTATTGTTCTAGTGTCCGCTCACCTAAATATAACCGAGGTTATATCATCACATATCCTAATTCCCCAAGTAAAATAGCTCATTTGTTTGTTGAAACAACATTTCAAACAGTGTGGTAATAGCTTTCTTTAGTGTTATACAACTAAGAGACATGATCGTTGAAAGTAAACAACATTAAGCAATTACTAAGTTGTAATCAGATGTTTTCATATCATTACTTGGCTTTGGTAGAACTACCGTGTGAGTAATGTTGAGGTCAAATGAGTCGATTGATTAGGTTGTGAGTTTTCATTGACTGAGATTCGTTTAAACATCTGCCTAGAAATGCAAGCTATCACCTCAGTCAGGGTGCTATGCTGATGGGGGATGTTGGATTCGATTGGGAGAGTGCTCAGGGTGACCAGATCAGACGAGACGTAGCACCAGTAGATGAAGTCTCTGCCTGTTGACCTGAGCTGTGTATAGGGTTGTAGATTGCCCAACTGGGATCCTCAAGATAGTAGGAATCAGTGATTGACGATTCTTGGTGTGATGGCTAAAAATCGGTCACAATTGCGGAGATCTATTCACTCTTTGACGTCTCTTAAAGCATACATATCTGCGCTTACCTTTTTCTTCAGATTATTAATTCTCTCACACTAATTTATCTACTTTAATATCAGTCTTTTTCTATGCATCTGTTCTTTGCCTACTACTGTAAAGTGTGACAACTTAAACCGATACAGTTGTTTGCAAGGTTCTACGTTGATCTTCTGTCTACCTTTCTGTCTTTATCAATATCCTTGGCACGATCATGGTTGCGCATTGCTGAGGAGTCCTATACGGGGACGAAATACAGCTATCAAGTGCTCCCAAGTTTCCAATACTTCTACGACTGATATCAATCCATGGTAAATATCAACTGGAAAAATCACCTAGTCTATACAAACCCCTAAATTAAGTTCATCAATTTCTTCTTACAGGATTTTTGTATTACTATTGAGGATGGAGAAAAGATAATAATAATAATAATAATAACAATAATAATAATAATCTTTATTCTCAGGTTATGAATTTAACGTGAGAGAAGCCGGTTTACAGGCCTCATCAAATTGATAACTGCAGAGAAGCCTAAAAGGTTTGAGCAGTTTTCAATGGTACAGAAGGAGGACATTAAACTCTATCATGATATCAAGTATTGTCTAAATGTTATGAAAATAGCAGGAAAATATCACTTTACAGTACATACACATCGTTCTGAGTTTAAATCATTCCTACTCATAATTCTTATTTCACATCAAATGGCGCAATATTAAGTGTTTTGCGTTGTGTGTAGTCGACATGATTGAGCCATCTGCAAGACCTAGTGTTTCGTCAGATAAACGTCTAATTTAACAATAATTCTTATATTCGTCGCTCTACTGACCAACAATAACTTACTTCAATGACTTCAGGAGTAGGTAAGTATCGATACATCCATTTAATCGATGGTGAATGTCTAAGTTCAGGCATTTCTTACTCTTCAAGTGTTACCTTTCCCAGCAATTCAGATTGGTAATACTGAAAACATTTGTTGTAGTGCAAGTGATTAAGCCTGGAAGGATCGTCGTTCAACAGTGGTGAATATTACACATATGTAAAACTTCATAGACTTCACATTAAAGTATGTAACATTGTCAAGGAGATACATTGGCTGTCAACTGACTTCTGTTAAGTGTATTCATGCAAGACAAAGTAGTAGAGAAACCTGTTGTATAACATTATTATGGATATGTTGCTGTTAGGTAAAGTGATCTCTCGGATTAGATTGTTTATCTAAATTTCCACTGCATTTGTCACGGACCAGAAATCGGAGCCCAGTTAATTGTGCTTGGGGTTTCATATGTGGTATTATTTAGGGTACTGGTAGGCAGGTGAGTTGATTGTGAAGCTGTTCAAGAAATAAGAAATCGGGGATGAGTCAGTTGGATACTTTTAACATCAGTATATTTCATTTTTTTCATGTGATCACTTTATTCAACAGTATTTTAAGTAGACTATTTTGTTGACTATGAATATCTGAACTCATTCCAGCATTTCATTCACTTCAATTTAATTCAGCTTATTTTTGTCTTTACTATTATAGAGGATTTGCAGTTTTATGTTGTTATTGTTATTGTTGTTGTGTTTCATAACCTTCACAGGTGACACCTACACAAGTCAGTAGAAGATATAAACACTTTGATTGGCTTCATTCACGTTTATTATCCAAATATCCATGTATTTGTATCCCACCTTTACCGGAGAAAGCGATTACAGGTAACTTGTTCATATCTATATAGAGTTTGAAAGACATTATCAATTAATTAGCGTCTATTACAAGATATTGTAATTAATTTTTGCTTATCCTTCATTACTTGTTGACATTAAAACCTTTACTTCATTCCGCAAATAGGATAGAATTTAAAGATGATGTTGAGCAAGATATTCTTCATTGAATAAACCTCTATTAAGTTGATTAATATGAGAGTAAAAAACTTGTGCATTGTAGTAGGATATGATTCCATTATAATTCAATTATTAAATTTATCAGACAGTGTAAGAGATTAGATTAGAAATCGTTCTTAATTGACACTTACTAACTCATAAGACTACAAGCATATAGATTATAGATTCACATACATATAGAGATAGTTTTGATGTAATTAGCTTGTATGCTAACTGACCGATTGGTAAGGGAACTAGATGCAGTCAGAATTGGGTTCAATAAGTGACAATCAGCCTACCCTATAAACCAAAATATCAGTAGATAATATCGTCTATAGACTACAGTTATGCCCCTAACCTCAACAATCTTTAAGTTTCAGAATAAAATATACAAACAAACTGCAGGAGTTGTCATAGGATGACCAATTTATCCCCATATTGTGGTTGACATATCTGTGGTTAGTTGGAAACAGCTGGATGTAAGAACATTTAATCGAGCTGGAAAAACATGGTTTCGATATATTGATGACACGTTTACACTGTTGAAATCGGAGCACATACATAGTTTCTTTACACATATAAATTCAGTATTCAACGTTATCCAATTCACCTATAATATGAATTAGAAAATAGTGGAGGGGAATTAGTGATGTTGGATTGCAGAATGAAGTGGAAACAAGAGGGGAGTTTAGACGCATTAGTGTCTACAGAAAACCTATGTCAGTTCAAGTGTTAAAGTAACAAGGTGAAAACACGTGCCAGTAACATGGAGAATCTAAGACAGGGAACCAGAAGCATTAAAGACACCTAACTCATCAAACAACTACTCTCCTAAAATATTTTATACGTTCCTTGGGAATCGTAAGGAAACTATAACTAGTATAAGTATTACAAGTGGTAATAGTAGTGAGAATACTGTGAAGAGAGAATTGAAAACCTCTACGGAAGTACCACATGAAGAAGGCACCTTAGAAATACTAGGTAGGATTGTCAATAAGGCTGTTTGGGATTCGAGTGGAATTAAAACCTACAAACTCACTTCGAAATAACATTTCTAGGTTAAAACATTCTATTAATCTAATTAGGCGGAATAACTTGCTTTACGAAATCCCTTGGAACGGTTACGAGGTCCAGTACAAGGGTGAAACTAGTCGACCGGGTTTCGGTTAATTAGTCTATCCGAGCACAAAAACCTATTACTATTATTATTATTTGTCCCTTGGATTCCTAATGGAATATACGGCTTCAGTAGCACGACTCTATCCCACTCTCTTCTCTGCTAACTTTTGAACCTGGCTCCATGACTGCCCACAAACTCTCATTTCCTCCTCGCACCGTCTCCTCCATGTCACTCTCACCTCGGACTCCCAACTGGTTGCTTCTCATCTGGGTTCCACTCGACGGTTCGGCCTAACGCGTGATGTGTCCCCAGTCGGCCTTCTCAGTGTATCCCCAATTCAATCCATCTCCACTTCCTTCCACTGCATATTTGTTCAGCGATAGGTTCTTGCTTCGTTGGTTCGTTGTCAGTCAGCCAGTCAGCCAGAGTGAGTTCCTTGTTGTTTATTCTTATTATTCTGGCCATCTGAGCTTGAGTATGGAGCCAGGGTAGGTAGTTGTTAATGAATGTGTGTAGTTTGTTGGAAATGCCTTTCATAACGCGCCAAGTCTGTGAAGCATCACATGGAAGCACTGACTTGACTGGATTGGTGTTGAAAATCCAGATGTAGTTCACGCTTTATGCTGAGTGGAGTGCAGAAGATCTCTACACTGGTTTCAGGTTAATGAACGCCTGTCTTGCTGTGTTTCCGATCCTGGCTGGCTGGCTGGCTGGCTGGCATTGACATCCTCGTCTGTGCCACTGCCGCCTGTAGTTGGGACGATGCTGCCTTGCCTATATAGGTGAGAGAGACTACTTCCTTTACGTTTCTCCCATTGATGGTGATTGGAGCTTGTTGTTGTTGTTGTTTGGGTATATTCATCACCTCTGTCTTCTCTACGTTCACCTGGATGAGGTCCAGTCTTCGTTGCCCTGCGCTGCCTCTCCTCTTCTGTCCACTTATTAGATTTCTCCTGTAGATCACCAAGTTTGTGTGACATTAGACATAAGTCATCACTGGCGAAATGTAAATGTTCTAGGTTCTTTTGCACAGTCCAGCCAGTGTATCCCCCTTTTCTGAGCTTTCGATTGTGAATTACTTGGCATGTGATGTCTTCATATAGTTGTTAAATGAGATTGATAGAGGTTTGTTGTATTCCGTAGTGTTGAATTACTTGTCGGTCGACGCTGTAGAGGGCCTTTTCAAAGTGTATGAAGTTGAGGTGAAGATCCAGTTGACTGGCATTCTATATTGTGTTGTATGATGATACGTAGCGTATCGTTGTAATTTGGTGGGCACATGATTTGTACTTCCTGAATCCACACTGTTCAGGTTGTAGTTAAATGGAAATTGGTGGATGTTAATGAGGTACGGAATTTAGGAGGACACCCAGCCATAGCTATGTATGTTATTATACACAAGCAAACAACAGGAAGGATGAGACAGGAATGACTTAGCATCTATTGTGGATGTATGGAAGATGTGAATCCACATATGACGAAGGGGTGGAGTAAATTGTGACTCTATAAAGGATGTGTGCAAGTTGTGTTGTTATCTTGATGATATGACTATGGACAATAAATTGTGTTCAAAACGTAATCTAGTAAATGATACATTTCTTTCATGGTGTAATAAACTTGATAAATTAGTAAAAATTGAATTTCTATACTCTATATTGATTAATGTACCGTCTGAAAATTAGAAATATAGCTGCTGTTAGTGAATTCATAGGTGTTGAGATCTTGGTAATGATTTTGTCTAACTTATATGTTGAATGATGTAAGCGTAGTTTAAAGCTTACTTGTGTACTTCAGTTTTGCTTTTAAAAACTAACCTATGGTTGGGATTAAGTATTTATATATCCCTCCTGTTTAAAAATTACATGTTAAGCCTGTTAAAAATCTTTTTCATTAATAGTCTTTACAATAAAAGTTAAACTATTTAATAAATAAATAAATGAAAAAAATGATTTTTATGATTGGTGCCCCTTACTATTCTTATTCATATGGATAGATTTTAAGCGGATTATGGATTACCAAGACAATCGGTTTCTGTATCATCGTATGTATACCCTATTCATTTTGAAGTTGTTTTTTTTTTTTCAAAATAATTCTCATATGTTTGTTATCCTCAATGTTTGCTGTTGGTGTAGACACCTGAAATGTAGAGTTGTGTTCATTTTCTCATATCATTATTCCCCCTTTCAAAAAGCAACTGCCCTTCCCATACATGTTTTCATGTGTATACATACTGACTATTATTTTTCATATATTTAAACAGTGAAACCAGGATACCGATATGATTTTATGTACGAAATGATATGAAAGTTGTTAGATGATAATAAGAAAGGTGGGTTAGTTAACAAAATTAAGGTTGAACCCGCGTATCTTCCCTTTACATCCGAAAGTTCACTTTATTATCTATGTAATAGGCAAAAAAGAACATACTTCAGGAACGTTTATTCGCATGACTTCTGAATTATGTTTCATGATGTTCCAAAATCTTAGTCATTGATTTTCTTACGGCGCAAAACACCAACCAAGTCATAATGTGCTATCTAGTGCTGAAGTCGCATGTATATCTCTCAATCCACCAATAGCTTTTTCACGTTGTGTAGCCTCAAGATTTCAAGGTCAACAAGTGGTGTTCAATACTGAAGCGTTTACGAAGTTCTGCACATGAAATCATGTTCAAGGCATTGAAATCTATACTGTAACTCAACTTTGCTATTTGATTGACTATCTCCTCTATTCTCTAAAACATACTGCCACTTGACTGTGAATAGTAGAGGAATTTAAGATGATCGTTTCCTCCTATTTCAGTCTCATCAGCTGGATGTACCTGTATTCCAGTGAGTTGTGTTGTTCCCACGAAAACTCGAACCTCTTACCCGGAGACTAACTGACTGAGTAAAACAATCAACGTTAGACCTTGCACACAGGTGCATCGGCTGAAGTTGCCACACTTGACAGAAGTACACAAAGAACAGCTGGATAGAAAAGGAGTGATATCAAAGCAGGTAAAGTAGTATGAGACAATAAAAAACGTGAGGATAAAGGTTAGTGTGAATATTCAAGTGAATACATCTGCGTCTTTGTGATCAATTTTCAGCCATTTTACCAAGTAACCTTTCATCTCGAAGATCCCATTTGATGAGTCTTCGTCTCCCTCTCGGTTAAGGCCAACAGTCAGAGACTTCACCGACTGGTGCCACGTCCTGGTCTAACCACCCTGAACCCTCTTTTGACATAATCCAAATCCCCCTAGGATAGCACGTCAAACTACACGGTAGTTCGGAGTGCTCTGCACATGGTCAAGTCATCTCAGTCGACTTAGGTTTACAACCTCGTCTATCGACTTGCCTATCTTACCTGACTTCAACATTGCTCATACAGTGATTTCATTAAACGCAAGCAATGCTACGAAAACACCTATAGTCTTCTGCTTTTTACGGCTATCTCACAGCCGTACATGAGGACAGAACGGACCACATTACAGTATACTCATCCTTTGATATGTAAACGGATATTTTATCGAAGCCACAGATGATGGGCTTTCTGTATCCGAGATGAGATTTGGTCAACAACCAGCCCATTCGGGCTAATGCAACTCATTGAGTAAGTGAAGTGGTCAACACCACCACTTCAACTAATCATTTGGAGAGTTTCATTATGTTCAGACGTATAGAGATTGATCAGTTCAATTCAGTATAACAGCAGAGAATTACAAGTA